GCTAGTACCTAGGCTGTTAGTATGGTAAGTTACAACATCAATATATACTACTTAAGTCTGCCTATTGGCAGCAAGTGCAGATTTAGCAGTGGTTGACGGGTTTCAGCCCAAATATGCACTTACAATTTAGATCTTCGCCTAAAGACCTTAAATATACTCATGTATACCGCCAACATAAATTAATTTCTGAGGAGATTAAAAAACTGAACAAATCTATCCGTATTGCAGGGAGAGCTCCTGTTTATTTATCGTGCCGGTGGTGTCCCCTAGTCAATTATTGGGTTCAACGAAAGACGTGTAAAGCCGATCATAAGGGCATTAATCATTAAGGCCTTAGGAAGCCCATTCGTTCGCGTTATCCACTACCGCTGTTCTACTTGTTTCGAAAACCGTTTTGCCATTCCCCCGTAGCGCGATTTCCACTGTCAACTACTGCAAAGCCAAACTACACGCGCCACTTTTTAAAGAGTTGTAATGCTTACAATGCAACAGAATACAATCGGAGCTTGTCAGTTGTTCAACAATCTCTGTCCTATACTGGCGCAAATGAAGGTATTCTATAATATGTCCATATACCACATCACTTGTGCCCTAAAAATGGAACTGGAAATCATCTTAGTATGATTCTCCGAAAAACATAGATCAACAAGTAATGGTAACGGGTGATTCGCTTTTTCGGTAAAGTATCCTCCTCCGGGTTATGCTACACTTCACCACCCTGTTTCATTCAGGGTTGCAGCCTTTTCATAAGAAAACTGAATATCTAGAAGATTTGTATGCTTAGAAATTTTTATACCCAAAGCGCTGTCTATTACATACTGGCTAACACAGGAGGTCGGTCCATGTCGTTAACTTTCCCATGAGCGGCCACCAACTGCCGTTTCGCAAAATTTGCTTTTCGGAAAATTAATGTCCGATGCTGGAAACGGATAGGCTATTCCGCTCACCACATGAATTTAACTACGACACAGTCTTGTTTGCCCCCTTAGTCCCGCTTTTATGGATGCATCCTTGTGTGTATCTCGAGTCAGTAACGAGTAGTTAGGCATGATAGGCACATAAGCGTCTGTTTAGTGTTCTCACTCCCGCTCTTATTTCCGAAAAGGTCGCTGCATCGGCTTCGACCGGAGCCAACACACATCGCGCTCTGACGGGAAAATGTATGTGATAGCAGAGATTAAAGAAAAACTGCCTCCCGGCTCCGGTGTCCTCATGGTCGGTGACGGCATGACGGACGCAGCGGCCGTACCACCCGCTGACGCCTTCATTGGTTTTGGCGGTAACGTGACCCGTCCGGCGGTCCAGCGAGCTACACCCTACTACTTTTATTCCTTTGACGATATCTATACCTTCTTTCGGGATAACGGAATAATCCATCGCTTTGGCTAAAGCCTCCCTACAATCACCGCTATTGCCGTCCGTCTTTATTTTGTTGCTATTTCCTCTGCTGTCTCACGTTGTTTTCCAGTGTTGCTTTTCCATCAAATAAATCTGATTTGAGACGCCTTAACAACACCATTTCGTGCAGTCAGATGCCTAAACTGCAGCATGGCGAGGGTCATCGTTGTTCGCGACGGTCGAACCGTCACCTTTCGTAAGGCTAAGGAAGACTGGAAGATTGACTTTCGGCTTGTTTATTGACGTCAGTCAGCCAGCCAGCCCCAGGTCTGGCAGACCTGAATCAAATCGGTCATTCGGAAAAATTAATTAACAGATGAGTCGCAGGCTCACTCTCCCTCTGCTGTAATCATCAGTATCCAAAGTCCCAGTCGTGATTCGTGGGACAGCTAGCCAACCTGGGCATACAAGCCTGAAGTGGTGATTCCAGTCCCGACTATCCACTGCTCTCCGTGCGACCACCCCCGAGGGTGACGAAGGCAAAACATGGCATGCATATTCCTTCGTATAGTCAGGTTATACCAGTGAAGGCTGCTAACACCGGCCTACCTCTACTATTCAGTGCATCGACTTATGCCAGACGCAGGGCACTTTAAAGGTACCGGAATGTCAAATCCACTGTTCTGCCTGAATGGACATCTTAGTGTAGAGTTCTAGGACTCATAACGACGGTGGTAATGTCTTTCGTTCGTCTCGAGGATTCAGCCAACCACCTGGTCCGCGTTTCTTGAATGACTTTGAAGTTAATCATTCGGCTCATTTGTAAAAACCTCGGTATTCTCAGAGGGATTTAAACCCACGACAGTA